TTTCATGCGTTACTGATTGAATTTTTGCTTCTTTCCAATTCATAAAACGAAGAGTCACTTTCCATGACTCATGGCGCGAAGATTCTAAATCATCGATTTCTATTTTCTCCTGAATTCTTTTTGCTTCTGATATTTGCTTCGAGTAAAAATGACTTCTCTGTTCCATCAATTCAACTTGAAGGAAAAACAACAATAATAATGATTAATGGCAATTAATCCTCACCATTGTTTCCTCCTTCCCTCTTGTTTTCCTCCAACTCATTCTCCCCACAGTCTGTCCTCAGTGATCGAAGCGCCCTCAACTCACTGGGATTTTCATCCGTCTCCAAGATTCGCTCGTTTGTCTTTTTGCATTTCATCTCTACAAGCTTCAGCAACTCCGTAGCAGCACTTTGTGCGTAAGTGTTTCCTCGCATCTGGAAAAGAGAGTCTGTGACGCGGAGTGCTAAGTCCGATGAATATTTCATATTTTTCTAATCGACTGACTTTTGTCGCAAACGATCTCTCTCGACGATGTCCATCCAAAATGAATCTCACTCGATATTCCTGAATGTCAAATTGAAGTATCAGATATTTGATTGGCTCACTCCTTTAGCAGAAGAGTATTGGAGTCTCGCGCAATCATAGATTCCCATTGGAAGATTGTTCGCTACACGTTTTGCGCACGTACGAGGACTTATACCTGGTTCATCGCGTAGTGCATGACGTCGACCACGGCCTTGATAGAGACAGATGATATTGATGACTGATTGTATGTACGATGGAGATGATATAGATAACATCATGGACAGCCTCATAGGGATGATCTAGATAACACGATGGATAGTATATACGATAGAGATGATATAAATACCATGATGGGTAGTATATACGATAGAGATGATATAAATACCATGATGGGTAGTATATACGATAGAGATGATATAAATACCATGATGGGTAGTATATACGATAGAGATGATATAAATACCATGATGGGTAGTATATACGATAGAGATGATATAAATACCATGATGGGTAGTATATACGATAGAGATGATATAAATACCATGATGGGTAGTATATACGATAGAGATGATATAAATACCATGATGGGTAGTATATACGATAGAGATGATATAAATACCATGATGGGTAGTATATACGATAGAGATGATATAAATACCATGATGGGTAGTATATACGATAGAGATGATATAAATACCATGATGGGTAGTATATACGATAGAGATGATATAAATACCATGATGGGTAGTATATACGATAGAGATGATATAAATACCATGATGGGTAGTATATACGATAGAGATGATATAAATACCATGATGGGTAGTATATACGATAGAGATGATATAAATACCATGATGGGTAGTATATACGATAGAGATGATATAAATACCATGATGGGTAGTATATACGATAGAGATGATATAAATACCATGATGGGTAGTATATACGATAGAGATGATATAAATACCATGATGGGTAGTATATACGATAGAGATGATATAAATACCATGATGGGTAGTATATACGATAGAGATGATATAAATACCATGATGGGTAGTATATACGATAGAGATGATATAAATACCATGATGGGTAGTATATACGATAGAGATGATATAAATACCATGATGGGTAGTATATACGATAGAGATGATATAAATACCATGATGGGTAGTATATACGATAGAGATGATATAAATACCATGATGGGTAGTATATACGATAGAGATGATATAAATACCATGATGGGTAGTATATACGATAGAGATGATATAAATACCATGATGGGTAGTATATACGATAGAGATGATATAAATACCATGATGGGTAGTATATACGATAGAGATGATATAAATACCATGATGGGTAGTATATACGATAGAGATGATATAAATACCATGATGGGTAGTATATACGATAGAGATGATATAAATACCATGATGGGTAGTATATACGATAGAGATGATATAAATACCATGATGGGTAGTATATACGATAGAGATGATATAAATACCATGGTGGACAGTATATACGAGAGAGATGATGTTGGTACCCAGCATACCTTTGTTGAACTTTGTATGATCTAATACTCCTGATGGGAAAGCTTTATGAAGAAATCGGTCACATTCTTCTTCTTCCGTCTCCAGGTTGATGGGATTGTCTTCCGCACTCTCACTTCTTATTTCTGGAACATCTGAAGTTTCCGGACACTGTTCACTCGAAACTGGTTTTGAACTGGAGGGGGAACGGCAATGTTTGGAGCTTGTGGACAATCCGCGGCTAAGAGGTTGCGGTGTGAAATCGCAACCGTTATTTGGGACACGAGACGGTGTCGATGAGGGAGGGCATGGCGAACTTTCAGGTTTTCTCGAGATCCTTCGAGGGGTGGAGTATCTCGGTTCATACGCTGACGGGCACTCCAACAGCGGCAAGGTCCCAAAACCTGAAAATTGGTCGTAAGGTACTGGCGGTGAGAGTGATGCAATGGGCCAGCCTGTTGTTACATGATCTGAGCATCTTGATGTGAGCACTGGGAAGGGAATGGGAGTTGGAGAAATGAGAAAAGATTGCAAGCCGAAGCGGTTTTCCATCATGATAACAGAGAACTGGAGAACGTTTTATTGAGACAAAAGTCACTTCAAATTGATTTCACTGCTTGCATGAGAACAAGAGAACTGCTGCATATCGTTCTAAACACGTTAAAAAGAGTTTCTTTTGCAGGACCCCCATAAGAACTGACACCTGAGCAAACATTACTGCTAAAATGGCAAGTAACACACATTACACATCGGGCGTTGATAGTACTGTTGTTCGATCAACATTGAATGGAAGGGGCTTGCACCCACATTCATGCTGCATGCGAGCACCTAAAACGCTGCAACAATAGAAGGTTCGTTTGAAATTCGTTAGTGAGACGTTGGTTGTTTCTCGTGCAGATTTTTCGGCAATTTCTTAAAATTTGAAATGTTACAATACGGAAAAAATAAGCGGTCCCAAGTTTCACATAAACTGGGGAGGACGTCGTTTTCTGAATCGCTCTGAATCTCTCCGTCTACTGAGTTTCAAAAATATCGGACGACGTGAAACTCTCGAGATGATGCGCTTTAACATTCGAAGCCATCTCACTGTATTTTTTGAAGAAGCAATTTTTGGATCTCCAGGTTCTGTGAGAATGTGAAGGAGAGCTCTCCGATCCTTTTGATCAAGTAAAGTCTCCCGTACTGCTGGAATTTGTTGATCTTCAAGGCGGCAAGAGAATTCATCGTCGGATAGAAGAAGAGCGAGTAATGAAGGAAGTAGAAAGCAGGTCATGGTTGGGCGTTTTCAGAAGCGCTTTGTTGGGTTTGAAATAATATTGGACTGAAAAATCGCAGGTATTGGTTCAACAGAATTCAGAACTGTGTTGAGATGGCATGCACTATGAACCATTGAGGCACCTTGGGGATAATAACTTGTAGCAGATGGAGATGGAGTTGTCATAGGGAGTGTGACTGTCCAAGGAACAAGATGGCGCAAGGAAGAAGAAGGTAAAGATGGTGGAGGTTGACACGAAGAATGCGTGAAAAGGCAAGGTGGAGTTAACTGAACATCGGAAGCGTTTAATGAACCCTGGAAAAAAACAAGACTTTAGCGCTAGAAAGCAATATTTCTAGCAATTCCTACACGATTCGATATCGAAATTTCATTAAACTCCTCATTGCAAATAGAACAGGCCAACTAAAACAAAAAATGAAGAAACAGGAAAGCAAAACGCCTCACCATGGCAGCAGACAACGGAAGCTGATTTGGTTGAGGGGAGACGAAATTCGTAGCAGCAGGCTTGGTCCAGCGCAAAGAATCCTCATTTACCAGATTGGCATCGAATGGAGAGACTAATGACTGCAACGAACTCAACAAACCGGTTTTATGAATTTCATCAGATTCATTATCAATAGAGACTTCTTCAGCTGTTTGGTTCCATTCCTGTAAAAATTGAATTGCAGCAAAACGGGAAACAATTTCAACTCACAGGAGTCGGATTGTCGCTAAGTTGAACGCCTTGAGGTGTTGGATGGTCCATTACATCAAGCCTGTCGGTGAAAGTGATTGGGAAACTTGGTGTTGGAATGCTTACTCTGAACTCCCTGAAAGGATAAAATGCAATTCTTGTCTAAAGTGTATCTATATGGCCTTTTTACCTCGCAACCCATGATTCTCCAAATTTCTTAAGAAAGACAGCAGATCAACAACTTCTGTCAGTGTGAGAGGATTCAACACCAGCTGGAACAGCGAAACAAACAATTTCTTGATCAATTGATTCATGGGGTCACCTTTTGAGCTCGATCTTCAGCGATTGCGTTGCGGCCCCAATCGAGAGTGCCGGGTGGTGTTGACAAAATTGCATTTGTTTCTTCTGAAACATCACCCAAGATTTGCTGCGACTGTCCAAGTTGCTGCAATCGAAGAGACACGCCGTTCGCCAATCCATAGAGTTGGTTTGCTGCATCCAATAGTTGTCTTGCCCTTGTACTGTTTCCTGCAACACGAAAACAAACTGCACTTATTGATTATTGCGAGCCACTTACCAGGTGGTTCAAGATTTGATTGTTGTGCATGATGAACTGGCTCAATGATTTCTTGAATAGCTCTGCGGCTTTAGACTCAATCAATCAAAAATCATCTTAACTAATGTACCTGATAGACCGATGAGTTCGGCCCCTATCATAAGGGGAAGTCCTTATTCGGCGTGGTTTGCGTCTCTCCATATAAGTATTCTGTTATCATTCATGGTCCCTTTTGGTTGAGCCTGTTGGCTCCAATGGCTGTTCTGTCCTGTAATGGTGGATTCATACGACTGCTTTCAAAATTGAGCCATCAACCAGTTGTAGTCCCAATCGCCACACGCTTCCATACAACTCGATTTCTGCAGACACAATCTCAAAAACACAGTTTTCCTCAATTCTTCAGTGAACCATTTCTAAATGCAGAAGAAGAGGACGACTACTCTGTTGATGTTTTGTGTTGTTGGCGGTGGGCCAGCTGGTCTTGCCTCAGCGATTCGTCTTAAACAATTAGCTCCAGAATTGTCTGTTGCGGTTCTTGAAAAAAGTTCAGAGATTGGAGGACACATTGTATCTGTAAGATCAGACTTTAGATTTGTTTCAATTCTTTACTTCAGGGAAATATATTCGATACAAGAGCTTTAGATGAGTGAGAAAAACTCAATTTTTTGTTGTTTCTATTGTTCAATATTTCTAGATTGTTACCCGAATGGAGAAATCAGTTTGGAAAAACAACTCCTGATCAAATTTCTGCACCATTTCCGTTTCGTGCACCAGTAACTTCAGATGCATTTTATATTCTGTCAAAACGCTCGGCAATCAAATGCCCCCAATTCTTGCTCCCATCCGCTCTCAAAAATACCTCTTCTTTAAGTCATCCCAAAGCTTTCGTTCTGAGTTTATCAGAATTTTGCAGATGGATTGCAGAAATTGCGGAATAATCTTGGTGTTGTAACAATCCCAGGAGCATCTGCTGCGCGGGTTCTTCTCGATGAAGGCAATCAAGTTCGAGGTGTTCGATTAAGGGATGAAGGAATCAATAAACAAGGATTAAAATCTCAGCGCTATGAACGAGGAATGAGAGTATTGAGTAAGCCATTGATCAAGCAATCAATCAATCTTGAATCTTTTAGGCAAGCAACTCATTCTTGCTGAAGGTTGTAGAGGATCATTATCTGAATTCATCAAACAACATTTTAATTTGGTTCAGAATTCTTGTCCTCAACGATACGCTTTGGGACTAAAAGAAGTTTGGGAAATCAATCCATCACTTCATTCCCCTGGAGCAGCGATTCATACTGTTGGATGGCCTTTGAATTACAATACATTCGGGGGTGGATTTCTATATCATCATTTTTCTGTTGATAACAAGCCCCTTCTTCATGTTGGATTTGTTGTTGGTCTTGATTATAAAAATCCTTGGATCAAGTGAGTTTTAAATTCAACAAAAATAAGGTTTGTTAGATTTTTTCAATCATTGTAGTCCATATGAAGAGTTTTCAGCAATTCAAAAACCATCCGTTTGTATCAGCAACACTTTCAAAAGGATCACGATTGAGTTATGGAGCTCGTTGTATCAACGAAGGCGGAATTCAAGCAATTCCAGAACAACTGCATTTTCCTGGAGGTTTGTCCTCTTACACGTTTTGTTTCCGGAAGGGTAATTGGTTCTCAGGTGCATTAGCTGGTTGTGCTGTTGGATTCGTTAATGTTCCTCGCATAAAAGGAGTTCATACTGCCATGAAGAGTGGCATGGTAACTGCTGAATGGATTCACAAAACTCTCAATCATCAATCATATGATGAACCATTGATCCAGAAGATTAAAGACTCTTGGATTTGGAATGAACTGCATCAGGTTGGACTATTCTATCCAGTTGTCATTTGATGGACTTGTTGTAGGTTCGTAATGTGAAGCTCTACTTCGGCCTCCCTGGCGGTCTTTTTTCGGGCCTTGCTGGATCATTCTTGACTTTGGGAGTCTTGCGAGGTTGTTAGATGCTGCTGCTGTTTGATTCGCATTGTCATTTTCAGGAAGAGAGCCATGGACATTGAAATGGAAACACACTGACGCTTCCACTACCGACCTTTCAGCAATGCATCCAAAAAAGGTGTATCCCAAGCATGACGGGGTTTTAAGGCAAGAGACCCACTAAGATTTAACACGGATTGATTCTTTTTGTTCAGTTTCGATGTAGCTGAAAATCTTGCTTTTGCGAATGTTGATCATCGAGCTGATCAACCGTCCCATCTAATTGTAAATTCGCAGAGTATTGTACACTTCAGTCATTCATCTTTGATTATCTTGATTCGAGAATCATCATTCGTATTATCTTCTGAACTATTCTCGTTTATCATTGCAGGTAACAAATCAAAATATCAAGAGTTGGGAAAAGTTTGAAGGACTTGAATCACGTTTCTGTCCAGCAGGGTAATTTTAATATTTGTCTTTCAAACATCGACTTCGTGTTTATATGTAGAGTCTACGAATTTCATCATCAAGACGCTAAAAATGTCCCAAAACTCAATATTAACGCTCAAAATTGTATCCATTGCAAATGTTGTTCCATTAAAAGTTCTCAAGAATACATCAAATGGACCGTTCCAGAAGGTGAAGTCTTCATTACGATGTGGTTTACTTTTTGCTTGTTCAGGTGGTGGAGGTCCAAATTACGTCGATCTCTAAGCGAGTTGTATTTTTTATCTATTTTATACCTTGTCTTGAATTAAAAACCAGAAGAATTTGTTTGTTCTTACGTTTTTCCAAATCCGCAATGCAGCCCGCACCGTATTTGGATGCCTTCTGTTCTGAGATCAAGTCTCAGCAGACACAAAAGCTTATCTCATGAATCAAACAGGTCATTTGGAAGGGGGAGGAATTTTGGAACAAAAGCTGGACGCCACAAGCCTAAAAAGAAAATTATCAAGCGTCATCCACGCCAAGAGGAGCACGGGCCTATTATTCGAAATGTCTATCGTGATCGTGAAAACAAAACATCCGTTACAAATCTTATAAAAGATTCATTTTATACACCAGGTAACCAAACAAGTGCTACTAGAGAAGTTTTTAAATAGTTTGCTCATCATTTCAGAAAATGCTCATCCAATACAATTGGCGCTAAAACTCAATCGGGCAACTCGACATGAGTTCTACGATGCAGATTTATTCGAGCGATACGCTGGTGAGTCACTCCATCGATTGAAATATCGCAGAGAATTCCAAGCGGTTCTGTTTTTTATTAGCAAGAGCTGTCGTTTTGATTGCTTTTATGAGACCCAAAGAACGTCGCGCTTCTGCTCAATTCTTTTGCTCGAGTGAGTGATTTGTTTCAAAAATCTTCCAATTTTTGAACTTGATTTCTAGGCACAACATCTTAATGAAAAGTTTCTCCTTCACGCTGTTTCCGCTATTTTAAGCAAATTTCATTCCCTGCCTTCCCAATCAGTCTCTTTATCGCGTCAGTCCATTCTCACAATTCAATCCATCAAATTTTCGACTTTTTTTCAGTCAATGCTTTCGCAGTTTTCAATTTTCGTCACCCGCCTCTTATTGAACGTTTACCCTGAAGAACTTCCCCATAAACTTCACCACTTTACTGCACAAGATTTTGGTATGAGTGAAGCCACATGTTTCCATCCTAAAGTCTTTTTTCTCAGTTGTCGTCATTTGTGCGTTATCTCGTTTGGGAGTCAATAGCGCTCCATTATTCGAAGATATTGGTCAGTTGAGACGCAGTTCAGTAAAATCTTTCATTTTCCCATCAGCAATACATTTGTCCAACCGACTTGCAAGTTTTGATCTTCAACAGCTCGTTGGAATTACATCCGCTGTCGCTCGCCTTCAAATACAAAATCATCAATTTTGGAAAGAAATTCCAACAAAACTACATGAACTAGTCGAGCGGTCGGTTGCATGTCCCAATTCATGCAAACATGTCCCCAGTTCATGCAAGCATGTTCCAATTCATGCAAATATGTTCCAATTCATGCAAACATGTTCCAATTCATGCAAACATGTTCCAATTCATGCATCCATAGCCTAATTCATATCGAATCCATCTGACCAATGTCCCTACCAGGAACATGATCTCGGATCCCCTTGTTCTGACGAAAATCGCTGTGGCGTTTGGCGAAATATTAAAAACTGGTTATCAAATGACAGAAATCGATCAAGACTTCCTCCTCAAACTCTCAAATTATATTCAAACCAATACCCACGAATACTTTCGCATCGTTCTCCCAAGTTGTTGGTTGAAAGCTCTCGAGACATTCTCTCTGTAAGCTTCATTTGTCTTCCGACTATCAATTGCGCGTCTGCTATCAGAACTCCAACTCCTCCAGTTGAAACTGTTGAGATCCTATTGAAGCGATGTTTTCCTATCTCTGGTAGTCTCACTGCGTCTCAACTCAGCAGGGTCAGTTTTCGCAACAATGAATCATACAATATTCTTCATATTTCTCAGTTAGTCTGTTCCTTGAATCGTTTCGACAATTCGCTTCCTGAACATCAAAAATTGGTTGGATCTCTCAATGTTCCTCTC